AAGATTCAAGAATTTTATTTTTGTTGTAATCTCCAACGTTCTTTGAAAACATGACTGACAACCGTAACAGCTCATTAATTACATATTTAATGGTCACACTTGTGTTAATATCAATTTTTATCACGATGGTGGTCACTGAATCCCAAATTGTACGTTCACCATCAAGATGTCCTCCTTGTCAGAGATTTGCTCACGGGAGGTGTCGCATGATCTTGGGATGCACCAGTCCAATCGGTATCTACGATATAATTTATTTATCATATTCTTATAATAATTTCTTTGTAAAATTTCTCGTTTTCCTAATTATAATTTTTTCTGTTTTTTAAATTGCGTAATATTCACAATATAAGTATATTTTTATATTATAATATCGTTCAAAAATGTTTTGATTTATTTATTTGCCAATTATGAAATGTCAACTATCAAATTAATTATTTTCCCCAATGAATGATTCAATGATACATCACACAAAATAAATTCTTAAAACTTTGATAATTTTTAATTGTAATGTTTTATATTTAATAAAGAAGTTAAGTATTATGGATTACACATTAATTTTTAAATCTACTAAACTATTAGAAGTAGTATGTACTTGTGTAATATATACGTATAAGATTTGTTCTTGTAAAACGTTTTAATGTTATCTTAATTTTTATTTTGACAAAATAATCATAAAATAATATAAAGATATTTTTATAATAATAAGATAGTTATTAATTATGATTAACATGAATTTTTGGCTTGCAGCGTAAGTTGATCTGATGACAACAATCTGGTCACATCAGTAATATGTCGGAAACCATGGATTACAAGTCAATGTTGCAAATGTAAAAAAATTAACTACTGCAAATATATGTATAATTTTTTAGTTTCAATTTTTGAATTCTACAATGCTTTACATATAAAATATAATATAAATATAAAAAGACAAGTATTCTAATGTCTTACTTCTCACTAAGTGCTGTATTTGCTATTGACATGGTGATATGTGTCTGAATATTATGGCAATAAAATATTACTGTAAAACATATCAACATCCTCGCGTGTCGGCTCGCATTCCTATTACTTTGTCCTTTATGATTTATTCTAGGAAACCCAATTCTTTTCAATTTACATTTATTTTATGTTTCTTAAAATGTGTAGGAAACAGTCAACTTTTTCAAAAAATTGAATATTTTGATTTTTAATTTTCAATTTTAACTTTTCTCTGAAGCTATTTGATTATTGAGTGTTAATCACTGATCTTTACATGAATTTCT